CAGCTTACTTTGTCACGATCATAATATAATAATCTTGAAGGAAATTAATTATGAAACAAAAAGATACTTGTGGTCTTATCTAAAATGCCTTTGTGTATAAATTGTTGACAGAGTTCCAAAAACTTCGTTCAATGTAGCAATTAATTGTGTTTTGGAGCTTTTAACATAAATTTTCAAAAACTCCAGACAAAACGAATATTGTCTCGCTTTAGGAGAAGGGATCTTTGTATTAATTATTATAAATTTATCAAATATATGGATATAATTTTATTAATTACTTCATAAAAATATATGAAATAACATTAATACATTCTTGGATCGTACATCGAAGGCAGCCCCGGTAGGTTCTTTCAAATTTGGTCAGGTAAGGAGAGAAGCTTGGACAGTGGAGGTAAGTCTTTAACGCGCGTTAGATAGGGCCTCCTTAAACCTACACCTGGGTGGCAAGTCCTAGGCACTGTTGAAGCTCCTCTCCCTGCAACGTGATGGACCCGGCACCCGCAAGGTGAATCCATTGGATGCTAAGAGGTTTCGTCTCGTCTAGTTGAGTATATAATTATTTTATTAATAATCATTCAATAGTAGTTATATGTGAATAAAAAATATTGAGTTTCTATAAAGACAAACTTTAATTAAGTAAAAAGCTATCTTCAAGTGTTATTTATGTAACTTTATCGTGTTTGGTCGTGTGAAATAGATTGTTTTAAATAAAATATATAAATTGTAGTATAAAAATGACGTTTTCAATAAGAATATCGATTAAAGATAAAAATATAGTATTTTCGCGATACTTATAATACGCTAGAGTAACGATTATACTGATAATAATTAATTACAGTTTTTAATTATATTAAATGAAAAAAAAATCTGTCAATTTGCAATATCAAGACTATAAAAGATAAAAATAATCACAAAATAAATAAAATTTATATATATTTAAAATTGATTAATTCGTCAGTAATTTAGTTTAATACGTAATTTAAATTCAATAAATTTTGTGTACGACAAACCTTGGGAAAGTTTTCCAATAATTTATTTATGGTTCAAAACACCTTCACCTATTTGTCAGTATAAATTAATTTTGCAATTATTACATTAAATATGAAAATTCTGATCATTATTATATGATTATATGTTATAAAACCATAATTTTATATATAATTATTACTTAAAATTTTACCGGAAAAGTCGGATATCCATATCAAGTTATTTTATGTACCTCTGGGCTTAATAACTCAAATAAACGAAACGCTGTGAAACATATTTTTAATTACGCCTCTGTTTACTTTTTAATTGGCCAACGGTGAATTTTTATTTCATGTTACAGCTGAACCTATATTTTTATAGGGTGCTAAAAAACAAGTCAAAATGTTGAAAATTGTGTTTAAATCATTTTTTAATCTATTTAACTTCACTGTGCCGTTCATTAGTAAATAATCCTTTTTATATAAAATAGATGTATTGCAATTTTTTTGCGGATTATACTACACGACCTTAATTTTGATAAAAAGTACACACTCCCGACGTTTCGGTACATTCTGCCGGCATCCAGAGTGGTAAGCTAGAAAATTAAGAAATCGATGGCGGTAGATGATAAAATAACAAGACCAACTGACAGATGGACGGACGACCTAGTCAAGGCCGCGGGTTCACGCTGGATGCTGGCCGCGTCCGACCGTAGTGCTTGGAAATCGATGAGGGAGGCCTATGTCCAGCAGTGGACCTCACATGGCTAAAGATAGATAACTGACAGACACTCACATCTCGTCTGCCCGTGATCACGGTTGCTGTAAAGTAACTTAAACGTCTGGAGTAGATATGTAGTTTTTATCAAACATAAAATCACGTAGTACATCCGCAAAGTATTAGTTTCATTGAAATGACTCGCGAAAATCTCAGATATCATTAATGTATATCAACGAAGTTTGTTAATACAAAATAAATATGTAGTACAAAATTTTCATGTATGTACATGACAAAATATATGTTCTAAATTTTCCACTATACATTTCGGTTAATACTAAAAACAATGTCACCCAACTCACGTCACTGTTATTAGTAAAGCAAAATTATATTACTATGACGAGGCGGATATTATGTTAGAAGGTATTTTTCCTTTTCACCTCAATATTAAGTGCTTTATAAGTCATGTAAAGGAAAATATTAAATGGCTTTCTGCGTATTTATACGTTTGCAATTATAAACTTAATGAATTAATAATTCAACTGTCAATCAGGTTACTTATGTTAAATAAAAAGTAACTTCAACTGACCTTTTGTTTATGAATTATTCCTTCATAGGTTTACTGAATTAAGATAAGCATATATGTAGTTTTTTTTAAGTAAGAATTACATGATCTTAAAAACAACCTACATACCGTTTACTAAAGCAACGACACCATATTCATAAAAATAAGGATTTTCGAAGGAAAATAAAAGATGTAGTAATTAGTACGTATACAATAAATTTAAATGAATGGAGATGATACCACTACGCTAAATAGACGTTACGACATTACTTCCCGTTAGGGGACTTGACATGACACATCACAGTAATTCGCCTCATCTAGCGATTTTAGTTCACATACAGGTATACTTAACACATTTATTCAATTATAATTTAAGTATTGAGTAATAACTACTTTCGTCTTCTCAAATTTACTCAATGTAATCGACTTATACGAAAAGACAGAAAAAGAGGGGCCGTCAAGTAACAAATAGGATTTCTTTTACGACAGAGTTGATTGAAAAGAAATAAATTCAGTTTTGGTCTAAATATAAAAATATCTCTTTTAATTTAGTTGTACTCGGTGACAGAATACAGAACCCGCCAATTTTCTTTTCTCTCAGTTTTGTTACAATCCAAAACGAAAAATTTACTATTGTAAAGATTCGATTTCAGTTAGATCCATACCTATGCATAATCAAAGTCCTGGAAACTTTACAAGCTAATTGCCATAAAGATATTTAGGTTTAATTGAAAAAATTGAGTATTAATATAAGAACTTCTTATAGTGAAACATCAATTATTCTATTAAATGTCACAATAAGAAAATTCACCAGTAAAAGCAGACTCTGATGACGTGCAAAACTTTTCCTATTAGTCGAAGTGAGATTTTTTCTCCTTAATCTTGTCCCATTGTTAAGTGACAGCTGCTTTAAGAGGATCACGAAGTTTGCCTGTTTAACAGGCAGTTTAAAGAAATTAAAAGACAATCTCCCTTAGATAATGGCCACAGAATGTCTTTTAAGGAAATGGATTTAGGGCTTCATTGCATTGATAAGTGACTGTTTAAACAATAAATTAGTTTAAGCATTAAGTTATATTACGTCTTAATAATAGATAATATGTATGAATATGTTTGAAATTGAATAGATATATAAAACCCAGTTTGACATAGAGATCATTGGAATTGGAAGGTCATTACAGAAAATTGGTTGGTATACGAATTAGTACTTTACTTGCTTTAAGATTACAAAACAAACATGCAGTCCCAAATGGAATACTGCTGACACTCCTGGTGCAGTGATCCTCATTGCAAAGTCCCGTTTATGTCTTAGCAACGTTTTGGTGAATTGATAATAATCCTTACCTTATAGTTTAGATAGGTCATCTGAACAAATATTGCAAATATTGCTACTCTTTTTAGTCGATGTATGTACAATCTATATACTATAGAAGAAATAATTTAGCTAATGCGTAAAATTCATTCTCTGTATTCAAATCTAAAACAAGGAATGGAATTTTATTTGCGCTTTTTATAAGTGATCACATACATCTCGTCTGCCCGTGATCACGGTTAGTGTAAAGTAACCAAAACGTTAGACGTATGTAGTTTGTAATTGAAAATAAAAATTCGTGTAGTAAATTCGAAAATATTAATTTCATTTAAATGAGCACTCGCGAAAATCCTAGATCTCATTAAGTTAAAATGTATTGAAGTACATGAATGTATACATACATATATGTATGTAAATATTCTGTATTCTGTCTATAATATTGAAAGATTAATGTTGTTTGAGAGTTTTTAAAATAGTAGATAGTTCCAAACTCGCATATTCTGATAATCGTTTTTCTGGTACAATTTCTTAAAGTAAATATTTTACAGTACTTATATTGAACGATACAAGCAAAGTTTTGAGCATCTTCCGCCAACTCTGATCCAACGACCATCAGTTCATACTTTGTTAATATAAACTTCACGTCACGTCTTGCTTGGATACAGACTTTATGGTGAAATTGTTCTTGTATTCTCTTCATCACTATTATCATATAAATAAATATTCATGTATATAAAGTATGTGAAATATATAAACAAGGTAATGACGCTACAGCTAGTGTCGCGTAACGTGGTATTGGCAGCCCATAATTGTATTTTATAAATTATAATAGTGTAAATAGGCATTCTTAATAATAAAATTTATAATTCTTCATTAGTTTCCCTATCATAATGACTTGTATTAAGATTACAAGAGTGAGATATATTTGTCTAGACTACAAAATACCATTTACCTCATTCATTTGATAAAAATTATCTTTCCTTTAGTTGATACGACAAAACCAAATCAATAACAAATTATAAGAAAATTAAGCTTACAGAAACTATGTTCCGATTATGTAATAATAAAAGTGTATTGAATGTATTGTGAAAAAGCACTCTCGCTTATTGTAGTTTAGCATAACAAAAAGAGAAAAACATACAATCAATAATCATTAAAAGCATTGCATGTAACATTCTTTGCTAGATTTAATATACTATTCATACTCTAAGGTGCTCAAAACATTTTTTTTTGTTAAACGACTGTTACTTGATAGTCAAGTGGTTCTTGATAATGTCGTGTCATAGATGTCAAAATCAGTCATTATAGAATATTTTTTACATATCCTGCCTTCGACAATGAAAACAAATGTTTTAGCTATATTTTTTGTTCTTATAATAAATTTAAAAATCTGCCAGAGTGCCATATACTCAGATTATTCTTTATATAATGTTGTTCCAGTGGAGCGGTATCAGTTGGACTTCTTGCAGAATTTAGAGAAACAACAATACCTAAATGTGATTTTCTGGACTAGACCATTTAGGATGTTTAAAGACATCCAAATTTTAGTTCCACGGGAACATTTGAATGTTTTTAAAGAGAGGCTACTCCATTTCCACTTGAATGCAACAATAACAACAAACAATATAGAAAAGTAAGTATACTGTGATATACGAATTAAACCCAAGTCATTATGATTATTCATATAAAAGCATTTACAAAAGTAAAATAAGCAATTATGAAATATTGGTGTACTAATTGGATGCCATTCTGTCCACAGTCAGATTTGTGTCCAGAATAAATTACTAGTATAAACATATATTCATAAAAAGTTATTACATTTTTTTTTAATTCGACCCTACAGGAACAAGTTAACTGAAGAGCAATATGTTAAGGATTTAGCAATTTTTTAAATTGTATCGTTTATTTTAATGAAACATATCAAATCTTGTAGGTTATTTCAACAGCAAAAGTTTAAGAGTTATACACGAATGAAATTTGAATCATTTTCTTGGAATTCCTTTTATGATCTAGAAAGTGTTTACCAATGGATGACAGATATTGCTACAAAGAATAGTGATAGGGTGAAATTAAAGGCGATCGGCAAATCAGCAGAAGGTAGAGAGATACTAACCCTTGAGATAGTAACAGAAAATCCAAAAGGAAAAGTAATAGTGGAAGGTGCTATACACGGAAATGAATGGCTTACAACTCAATTTGTTACATATCTTGCATTCTTTCTGATATATCCCGACAAATCTTCGAATTGGCGTTTAAGACAAGTGGCAAAAAAATATACGTGGTTCCTCATTCCGGTTGTCAACCCGGATGGATATGATTATAGCATGAAAGTGGTGAGTGACCATTTTATATTAACGATATATATTTTGAATGCTTGTGATAATGGAAGTAAGGTGGATATCGTACTTTTTTATTCCAACATAATATTGACAAGCTGAAGTGCTAGTGGTGCACGTTAGTGTTCTTATATCAATGTCATATAAATAAAATTGTCTTAAAAATAATCGTAACTATACTGAAATATACATATTTTGAAGTATTATTTTCAAGTTTTAAAATCGGATTGCTTTGAATATCATTTTTTGGTACTTATATTACCTTTTTTTTCAGGATCGTTTGTGGCGTAAAAATAGAAGAAAAACTTCAAATACAACGATAGGGGTTGATTTAAATAAAAATTTCAAATACAAGTTTTGCGGTTTGTATTAAAGAAAATTTGTTATTTATATCGGATTCTGTTATTATAAAATTCTTAAGATTTGTATTACTATATCTTTAGAGTATGGTGGAAGTAAGAATGCGTCAAGTGGGTACTACTGTGGACCACAGGCTTTCTCAGAGCCCGAGACTCTTGCGATGTCACAATTTATACATTATAATAGACATCAATTAAACTTCTATTTTGCGTTTCACGCTTATGGACAAAAGATAATTATTCCATATTCTGATAGAGTGCAACACATTGAAAATTTTGCTGAAATGGTATATCATTCAATTATTTACTTTATTCAACATTGTATATTGATACGTGGCCAAAATGTTTTAGGGACCATTTGATATTTAGTTCCAATATAAAGAGAAATATTTTTTTTCTGTCTAATTCCTGCCAAGTTTTTATATCTGCAAAAGTAGTTTAGTAGGTCATGTAAATGTTAGACAGAGGAGGCTCTACACATAAATAGGCTGTTGCTTCATACAAAAGATTTATTTCAAGCTAAGTTTGTCTTATGATGTAGCCATTGTATTCGAAGTAGCGGAAACTGGCTCAAATACATACAATGATGTATTATCTACCACCGATTTAGAAATTCAGAGTACATAAGTAACTTATATACGTAATATCTTTGGTAGTGATAGATTTTATTGTATTGACGTTCCACCATTTTAGTTAAACATTTTTGCCAAATATAATATAAGATTACTTATTTATGTAAAATTGAATACACATTTTTAGGTGCATTGACTTTGTAATGCATACTTCAACAGTCTGTTCATTTCGCTTTCGCTTATGAGTTAAAGACACTGCGGTTTGCTCCTCCAGACATAATTTACATTAGTTATTTATGACAGTTGACATAGTTATGCATATCGTTGTAATGCATCTTTGTTATTCGGCTTCCCTTAAGCCTTTCAAAGCCATTAAGCAAATAAGAGAAGGAATGATATTTGTTGATGCAACAATAATTTATCAGTTGAGTCACGGAAGGAAAGGATTGTCACAACCAACGATCACATAAGTTAGCTTCTATGCAGTAAATTAAAAGAAATACGCACTTATATGTCTTTGGAAATTAGATATGACAATTTTATCACACTTTAAATGATCGCATATGCATTATTAATTATCAGTTAACCATATTACTGTCATTTTTGGGGATTTTAAACGAGTAATTATAGGATCATTTGAAAAAATGTTGATACTCTTACACTAGTTGGTGATATTAACTAAACGAAGTTAACCAGCAACGTAAGGAAATTGGCTACTAAATAAAAGAACCGTTTAGGAGTTCTGATGCCTCACACACTCACACGCGGAAGACGCACGCACGCACGCACACAGGCATACACATATGCATATATAATTTACTCTTTTAAATACAAACAGAATAATAATTGTCACCCATAACACAAAATTAAATAATCTTTTTATTTTTATTTTTTGTAGATCTGTTATCTATTACGGAAATTTCAAAAGAATACGTATCTTATTCTTTTTCTATGCATGAAAAATATAAATTACAAGTTTCTGTCGCACTTCACGAAATATTAAAGATTATAAATCAATTGTATCAGAATTCACGATTCGAATGCGAACAGAATATTCATGCGAATTTTGAATTTCAAATTTCGTTTACAGGAAAATTATGGGAAACAAGCAATATTGAAAATGTACAAATTGTATGGTATTAAATATGGAATTGGCACTATTTACGACGTATACGGTCAGTACATTGAACAACTACAAACAATTCTTGTTAAAGTACATTTTGATTTGGTTATGTTTAACTTTTTATTCAAAGATAACGGTTGTAAAGACTAAGCTATAAAAACTGTAAACTGTCTTTTTAGTCAGTACGTAAATAATGTATTGAGTGGATATATCTGTGTAAATGATTTATATACTTTTATAAAATAAGAATAACAACTGAAATGGATGTAAAATTTATATTTAAAATAGAATTATAATAAGCTTATTTATTTTTATAAAATCGTCATTTAATTATTTTTTTAAAGGTTACAAATCTTCCGGAGATAGTATATCTTGGGTAAAGAAGACATATGGAGTGAAGTAAGTGTCATTTATTTATTTTTCCCATAGTGAAAGATTTTATTTTATGCATGTATAGGTGGTAGAGGTGGTAGGTGTGTAGGTGGTAGAGCCTAGCTGTAGTCAGTTACTACAGCTCGAACATGGGCTGACTCGACCGGGGAAGTACCACCCTCTCACAGAAGATCGGCGTGAAGTAGTCAGTAATGATTGCGTTTCGTCCGATGAGTGAGAGAGCCGGTTGCCCTTTCCCTATTCCCACCCTTTCCTACCATATCCTTATTCCCACCCCTCCCTATCCCTAAAAAACAAGGTTGGCAACGCATCCGCAACAAGATGTTGCGGATGTCAATGGGCGGCGGTAACCACCTTCCATCAAGTAGGCCGTCTGCTCGTTTGCCACCTTTCACATAAAAAAAAAAAAATGTATGATAGAAAAAGTATACCGTCATAAAATAATTTAAAATTTTGTTTGTTTTATTTGATATACATATTAATTTAGGCCTAATCGCCTATGCGCCAGCATGCTAAATTATTATTACTGTCAACAGAAAAACAAAATTGTAAAATGCCTGATGTATCTACTTTTTGTATGTAGTATTTTTTTTCGGCTTTGTTCCACATTGAAGTTATATAAGATAAAATAAAATAAATCCATTTATCTCTCTCGTCCTTCAGTAAAAGATCATTACAAACAAGATTACTATTTAGTACCAATTGCTTACCAAATTTCTTAAACACAAATCTTGTATAATTGAAATAAATGGGATCGGATATAGGTTCATTAGGTACTTTGTTTTTACTAAGTAATATTAATGGTGTTATAAAGTTAGGTTATTTATTTTTATTACTGTCACCCATTCTTCTGCTCTTACTTAGGTTTCTATTAAAATGCATATAACTTTCAGGTACTCTCTCTCATTCTACCTACGTGACAATGGAACTTATGGATATGCTTTACCTCCGGATAATATACTGCCAGCATGCAAAGAAACCTTGACCGGTTTAATGGAACTCATGACGGTTCGACACAGGAGTGTTGAAAGAGAACTTTTCAGTTCCACCAATAATTTTAGATCAAAATTTTATGTAGTCTATATTTGTATGACTATTATTTTATATTGATTTATATTTATTACTTTTGAATTTGTACCAAAACTTTTGTGAATATATTTTGAAAAAAAAGTAATTGCCTTTTTTTTGTGACTATAAATTGAAAAAGGTTTATTATTAATATATTATATTCCCGTCATAATAACAATATGACATTGACATTGCGTAAATTCTCGATGGCGTGGAATAGGTTTCAAATGATCATGATTATTTTACACAGATTTATAAAATGGAATTGATTTACATCGTCTGTTTGGTTTCCTTGTACATAAATCCATGCACATCTAAAAGCTACAAAAACTACACATTGTTTAGAGGTGTGCCGGTGACAGATCAACACTTAGAATTCTTCAAGAATCTAAGTGAAGTTTACAAAGCCACATTCTGGAGGTCACCAGGTTTAGTCCATAGGCCAGTAGAATTCATTATTGGTCCAGATAAAAAGAAAAAATTTTTGAGAGATGCAATTTTAAACGGCATTTATTACACAACGGTGATAGAAGATGTGCAAAGGTACTTATTTAATTATATTGTATGATCCGCCAGTGTAATAGAAGAAATACATTTTAAAATTTGATTCAATCCAAAAGGGCCTTTGATTCTCAAACTGTAAAGACATACGTGCGTCGGAATATGGAATCCTTTGACTGGACTAGCTATTTTAGATTGGATGATATCTATGACTGGCTTCACGATCTAAGCGTTATGTACCCAAAAGTGATGCATCTACAAAACTTGGGGAAAAGTGTTGAAAAGAGAGATATTCTAATGGCTAAAATATCAATTCCCGTCCGTAAAAAAAGGTAAGTATTTCAATTATATTATTATTTCAAACATGTGTTTTATAACTGATTTCAATATCTAAAGATGATTGGTGGATTACTATTAATACAGTTTTGGACCCTTCAATTCCTCATGTGAAACTTTTATTAAAATTTCTTAAAAATTATGAATCAATCATTTTAGTTCGAGACCTAAAATTATAGTTGAAGGAGGTATCCACTCTCGAGAATGGGTATCAATAGCCTTTGTTACATATCTTCTCCACCAAGTTCTAACTACAGTTGATAAAAAGGAATCCAAGTTAAAATCGATTGCCGAGGAATATGAATGGTATTTTGTACCAGTTCTTAATCCAGATGGCTACGAATATAGTCACACGAAGGTCAGTTACCTATTCTAAATTAAAGTTAATCTCATCTAGTTTTAATCTTATTTCTGCCAAATCAATTACACACAAATATATATTTTTTATATTGTGAGTAATAAAAATTATTTTGTGTTAAAATAAACTATTTTTAAATTTTCTTAGGATCGGATGTATAGAAAAAATATGCGGGGAGTAGATTTGAACAGAAATTTCGACATGAATTTTGGTTGTAAGTGATAAATGATAATATTTTGAAAAATAAATTCTTTCTATTCTCTATCTTTAACAAAAGTATAATAGGAAAATATCTCTTACGAGAAAACTTACTTCTCTAATTTTTAATAACATAGCTGTTGGGACGAGTTCAAGAAAACAAGATGAAACTTATTGTGGTCCCAAAGCTTTTTCTGAACCTGAAACGTTGGCGATGTCAAATTTTGTGAAAGCTAACAGTAAAAATTTGAAGTTCTATCTAGCTTTTCATTCATATGGCCAATATATGATCATTCCGTATGCCTATTCAAAGAAACACGAAGAAAATTTTGATGAAGTGGTAAGATACAATTGAGAATCAAGAGCTTAATCTTTCATTTAATACTATAAAATGAAAAAATTAAAAGAGTGCGATAGCCTAATTAGTAAAATAACCATAATTTCTATTTGATTTAAATTCAAGTATTATTTGATCTTTGTTTTAATTTTAATTACATTATCACGGAATAGCTTTGTGTGTTAAAAACCTGCTTGTATATATCTTTCAGCAAGAAAAGGGTTTGAAAGCTGCAAAGAGAATTGCCAAAAAATATGGCACTCAATATACAGTAGGGACAGCATATGATACAGTGAGTAAGTGTTGTAGAATCATTGTATATTTCAAGGGTATACTAGTTTTTACTAGGAAACGATAGCAGACTTAAATATTATGGAAGATTATTACCTTCTTCTTTTATTAAGGAAACGTCAATTCTGGATTGTAAATAACAAATTTTAGTTCAGTTCAAAACAGCTTCGTAATAAACAATCTTGAATTTTGGGTAGGGCTGGGGAATTATTACAACAATATTTTAAAAATAAATATTGGATTTTCTTACAGGTTACGTAACATCGGGTGTAAGCAGTTGTTGGGTCAAAAAAACTTTTTCTGTTCCGTTAGTATATTTATTATTTTGAAGATTGTACTATACTTAAGTTTCATCCTAATATCTTTTTCATTTTCTATACTATATACGTATTATTCGAAAAATTATCTTAAATTCTAGCTACGTACTTACGTTTGAATTGAGAGACGATGGTCGCTATGGGTTCGCGCTTCCTCCTAATCAAATCCTTCCTACTTGTTGGGAAACTATGGATGGCTTGTTATCTTTGTTGGATTTTAAAACGGACAAAATGTTAAAAATTGATGGTAACTCCCAGAAGTCATCGCAAAAGATGATCATTTTTGAGAGTTTTATGCTAATTTGGAATTTATTTGTCTTTATTATAGTACGATTTGAATACTCCGTTGTTTTGCTTATTTATCTGAAATCCTCCCAAGAAGAAAAAATATTAAAAAAAAAATCATTTTTTGTAACATTCTAGCTTATGCCTGCCGCCCCGGTAGCGTTTAATTCTTTATTCACGGTGTTAAATATAAATGTATATGGTATATTTCTGTATATACTAGGTATATGCTAAGAATAAATATTTTGGAAACTATTTACGTAAGTTACTTTAGCGATCATTAATTTTACAATGAATACAACAGCGATGCTACCAAAGGTGCTAACATGACTAATGATACGAATAATCGTTAAGGCGTTACAACAAATTGTGTGATCACGTGACCTATGGTGATTTATTTTGATGTCATAAACCAAACATTGTTGAACCTTAGCCTTTTAGAGCACCTAACAAAGTAAAATGAAAAAAAGGGGAGCGTATGGTTAGAAATGGTTCCTCGTATGATGGACAGTTTATGGAATTCTCGTACTATGACTCTCAATTAGTGTAAGTGTAATCAATTCCAAACCTTCTCGTAAGCGTATAAAGTTCATTTTACTATACTATTAAATTAAGGCGTTGTTTTTTAGCAGTAGATAACGTGTAATCATTTTGTTTTTGTGCCAAAGTTAAAATAGTTGTAATATTATTAAATATGACGAACAAATGTTTCATTTGTACTTAAATTTGATATTTTCACTATTGCGTTATTTTTATTACCTTCAGTGGATATTATAATCTAAATTAATACAAAGAGATTATTCAAAAATGTCGTCATTTATAAATACTACACTATAAAATTTCATTTATTTTGTGTTTATGGGTGCGATGAAAAAGTTTTTTCCTCGGAAACAAAGTATAGAAGGACCATTGTTAAGATTTCAAATCACTTGTGTCTACTTGAGATGTAGCTTGAAGTCCAGATACAGCGATATTCTTGCCAACATCCAAGTGCTTCTGACCTGCTAGTCATCCTTGAGACAGTCTTTCATTTACAGCTCAATTTTAAGTAAAACTTCATATCAAGAAGTATTATCTGATATTATTACTATAGAAGTCACAAGATAATAATTATTATCAATATAATTTCGATGTCTGCTCTAGATTAAAATCACTTATATACGTCAAATTAAATTATTGTTTGAAAAAAAATTAGTTATCAAATGGTTAAAGATCTAGACGAGGGTATTATCGCCAATCAAACGTAGCATAAAAGCCGAAGGTTTCGTCTAATACGGTAAGAGAATTAAAATTGCAAGACAAGGAACTAGGAAGGAGTCCCAGTGTTCCAATTAATTAATCCAACCTTGGAGTGACGCCAAGTAACCGCAACTTAAGCGAATAACGCCATTTTAGATGCGGGTCTGGTAAAAAAGCTTGCTTAAAGATAAAGATAAAAAATGTTGTATGTGTCCGAACAGATTTTTATACTTAGTGTATTACATTATATGGGGTTTTAGGTTACAATCCCCAAGAAATCTTGGAACAGTAGTTAAAATACATTGCGTGACGTATAAAATAAACATCATGTACTCGTAGAATTTGTAGTTTTGACGTGATTGAGTAATAGAATCAAGCTCGTACAACCACTGTCAAACATGAACAATATATACGCGGGCATTGTATGATACAAGAAAAAAAATGAATTTTAATATATTTTACATAGCAGAAAAAATTATTTTATAAAAAATTATAAATATTTTGTTATGAAATATCATTCACGTTGATCAAACAGTTTTCGGACTTTTATCTTACTGATGAGTTATCAATAATCTTATCGCTAGCGTTACATAAAATTTATATCAAATAACAACGAGGAATATTTATAATTCCAAGATATTTTTTTTCTTTATTTTTGATAACAAATAAATAATTCAAATCAAATAATAAATTAAAAGTTGGTAACAGTATTTAGGATTCGAGATGAGCCAATTAATAATTTTGTAACAAATCTTTTATTGAGTTTTAAAGTTGTTTTAATTGCTATAATTGTTTAACCAAGTTTTGAAATTTATTGCTTTTTAAAACAAATATTTTGTATAACATATCAGGACTTGGTTTATATTCTTGGAAGTTTCTACTGTATACTGCAATATTGTTATCAAATTTGATGTTGCGCAATCTACGTGTCTTTGACGACACAAATTTCAAATAACACATAAACCAATAAATTAATTAAACCTGCAAGAGTATCGTACTTGCAATCGGCGTTGGCCGATAGCCAGAACGTGCCTAAAACAACGGCAGTTCTCTGCAATTGTCTGAATTAATGCAACAGCGTGATGGATTGCTTTGCAGTCGAGACGTGAAGGAATAGATGATGTTATTACTCTGAGTGGTGATTTACATTTCGTATCAACAGCATAACGTTTTTATTTTGAATTAATAATTAATATATTGACAATAATTTAATTTAATAATTGCTAACTAATATAAGGAAAAATATAATGAAACTTTAAGTTCTGTTTTAACCCAATCACCGTTGTGTTAACAATGTTAATGAAAGATGATTGTAATGATATAAATATATATTTTTAATTGTATATTAAAATAAACTATCGCATGATCTCATTCATTACTAAACACGCATTAGTGGGTGTGCGCGCGGCGTAGACGACGTCCCCTGATTTATTGGACCACCTCCTGCCCTTAACGACATGCTGTGATGTACTGTTGGTAGAGTGTGGTACAGACGTGGGAAGGCAGCGGTATCAGTGGAATTCCTTATGGAACAATTCATAATTGCCTACAAACAGAATTGGGACATTAACACATACACTTTTTAGAAGTCCATCTAAAAATTTAATACGTCAACTGTAATTTTGGAGCTTCATACGTTTATAAGCATTTAAAATTGATATAAAGCAAATGATTAATTTTTTTTTCAATAAAATCAGTGACTGTAAAGGCGTTAATAGTCTTTTATAACTTTTCCCATACAAAAAAACGGCAACAGCAAGCCGCAAAGAACAAAGGGAATTATTCGAAGATGAAGTCAACCGCGTTATTGTGGCACGGACGGACTCGAGTGATAAATGTTGTGCGTAATTTACACTCACACTTTTGTTTGTAAAAGGTAGACAGTTTTATTGTGACTTGAATCGGTTAAATGTTATTTTGTTGGTAGTTAAGATCTAAATGCAAAGAAACATGAAATACATCAAACGTCATAAAAGGAATGTGTGAAATCTTCTTTATAGTAACAATGAGATCATAAGAGATCAGAAACTACTTAATTCTGTTTGTTATAACAAAACTCTATGGCTATAGATACATAGGTATATAACATTTTATTCTTTATATTGAATTGAACAACAGAAAATAAGATTGTTGAAGTTACTTGATAGCTTCTTATCCACGTATTTTATTCCTTGCCATCGTCATCACACAATTTTGTTAAAACATCTTGGAAAAAAACGGATTATCTTAACTGAAAACTGATTTCTCCCACGTAATGGCCTGACCCAGCAAAATTTCTTAATAACTGCCTAATATAATGGAATACTTTATCGAAGGTCAACAAAGTCTGATAAAGCGAGGTTTTTGATATAATTAATTCAAGCCCCATTAAGTCTCCTAGTAAAATTCCAAAAATATTTATTAGGGTTGAATATTATGATATAGAAGAATATAAAAGTTAATAAGGCAAAAAATATGTAAAAAATAGTTGATATTAAATGGTTATAATATTTATAAACTCTACTTAAATAAAAATAATATTTAGGATCATGTTTCAGGGTATTTTTTATTATTTAAATAACTAAATAAGTGACGGTCTCCTGCGTATAAAGACATTGACCAGCAGTTTAGTAACCCATTCCATGTAACCACACATTTACAACGTCGAAGCTGTTGTTAAACGCTACACTTCATTTGTTTCGTTTCCAAATCGCATTAGTATAATTTTAGTCGTCGAATACTGCGGTTGACAATAACTACGTGGTTTACGCGCTGAATTTAGTTCAATGCGGTTTTACTGTAGACGCACGACTTAAATTTCTATTTAGATTTTGGATAGTTTTATACCGCTATATTGCAAAAACATTATTTGATCGTTGAAGTAATTTGATGCTATAAAAGTATGAAAAGATTGTAAGCTGTACTTTTTTCAATTCAACTTGAAATATCATATAAATTGTATGAATTTTGAAATTTTGCATTTTAAAAATATTAAGATCTATTAAAAATAGTCAAAGATGTATGATTAATATTTATAGTAATTTTTTGCAACACCTGTATCAAGTAGATCCCAAGAATGCTTACAAGAATTTGTCTCTGAGGAAATTATTGACAATTGGACCCTTCAAAGTGTTCGGAAAGTGTAAAAAAATATAATGATGTACATTGGATGATATTCTGTACATGTAAAATTGTATTATTAGATTCCTTAACATTCCTAAAGTTAAATAACGAGTTTAATTTTTGTATAGGTTTATATACTGGAAGGCCAATATGTTATGGTACGATAATAGTTATATATGTATAGGAGTGTGTGTGTGTGTGTTTGTAAATGTTTTAATGGTCATCATTATCAAATGTGCACACATTTGAATATTGTATTTAGTATTATCTTCGTAATACACGTAACAATGTATTTTTGGGTTATAAAGTGTAATAAGTATTATAAAATCAACTTCTATCGAATGTAATACGAACTCGTCGTGTTTTTTTCTTAACCTTAAATGTGAAAGTAATCAATAATGCTCAGAAAAGTTAATTGTCATTATTTGGTATTATTGTTTGAATTAGAAAATTTTGTATGAAGTTGACAAGTTGTTTATTATTTTTTTCTTATCCTTGATCTTCTCCTCGTCTTAGCAAATTTTACATAGAATTTTACATATTGAAACTTATCAACAAGCCTATTGAACCTAAGGGGTTAAAAAAAATCTACTTTAGCTCCAACTGGTATATTAAAATAAAAACAAATGTTTTGTAGAAAATCTATAAATGTAGCTGCAGTTTAAGTTTGATAAATTAATACAATATCGTCCTTATTAAAATTTTTCTTAATTACTGTTTCAAAAAAATACTAAATCTTGCCTGTCAGAACTAGACGTGTTAAAACGAAGTGAGAACAGTAAACCTATTGCTAATTACCTCAAGTCATCAATCTTATGGTACGGAAGCTCCATTTTTATACTTGTAAACTTAACAAAATATTAAGTAACGCAGAGCTGTTAGCTGGCTTCAAAATAGAAGAAATTTTACAGTTGAACTGTATACATATATTTGTGTGTGTATATATTTATTATGTATTATTACTTTCATTCCTGTGTCCCAATAAGCTAACAATGACATTTTTTATTTTTAGGACGTTGAAGTATTTGTCGTTTAATTTATAAATCTTGTTACATTCAAGTAAACTGAATACAAATTGAAGAAAAAAATATTTCAAAAAATATAATAATAATAAAATAAGTCTATTTCTTCCTAATCGTTATGGTTTAGCGTATTGTTTCCGTACATGTTGCTATTGATCTCCTAGAAAATCAGAAATATATTTTGTTAAATCCAAAGCTATTTTAATCATATTTATAAAATAATAATAAAAGCAAAACCTACCCTATAAATTCAAATATATACATGTAATAGCTCCTCCACGTCACAATGGCCCAACTAAGGTAATGTACAATTTCAAATGATAACGCCGTAAATGGAAATTCGAAATCAGTCAGCCGTAACTGAATATTATTGCCTAGTTAGGAAACAAAATATGTTTCCTATGTACGTGTATTAGCAGAGCTTCGGGCATACCTATATGCAATTTCACTTGCACATGATTGCATGGTTGAATGCTAAATAAGACTAATTACACATTATTGTTATGCGAACATCTTTATTTACTTGGCGAATATATTGACAGCCCTAATATTATTCACGACGATCTAATATTTAATTCTTAGAAAGAAAAATAAACAGTAATCTAAGAAAAAAACAGTATGGATAAAATAACAATGCGATTATTAAATTTCGCGATAACGGGAAGATATTATTGTGACTTCAATATTTCATAGTTTTAGTTTGTTTTGTCAAGTCATTATGATTAAGTCAAAAGAATATTCCACTGTTTCATCATTACAGTCATCGGCAGTATGTTCTCCTTTCAACCGTACAAGGTTCGACTATGATCTTATAAGCAGTCTCCTGTCTGACTTCAATCCTCCTTGAGTATTCTTCTACATATTTATTGATAATTTTATAACCAGTAAGTTACAGATATTAAGGTTTTAATGCTGGTGAAAAACTGTACTAGATTATTTAACGTAACTGATATAAAGTTTTAGAAATTTATACATTTTGATTTACTTTGCATAACACACTATTAGATATACAAGGCATTTCATGTATAAGTATGTGTAAGACATGTTTAATAGTCCTTTGAAGAGTTATTTTAATGATATCTAGTGTTCATAACCATATATCAAAATTTGATAATTTATATATTTTTAGATAAAACTTGTTATCTTTGAAATTAACGACAGTCCGTAAGTATGATAAATTATATACAATATCATAAAAATATATGATAGTGGAATTTCATCTACATTCGTTCAAATACGTTGTAGCAATGTTGTTTAAGTTACTTTTAATTTGTGCTCTTAGTATAGTTAGTGCTGAAAAAGTAAGATATGACGATTATTCATTATATAAAGTGAATCCACAAGATAATGACCAACTAGAGTTCTTGAAGCAATTACAAAATTCTGAAGGATTAGATTTCTGGTCACAACCAACGAGAGTTGGAGATCATATCAATGTTATTGCTGCACCACAAAGGAAAGATGAATTCGAGCATTCCTTAAAAAAAAGAAATATATACCATGATGTGCTTTTAAATAATTTACAAGAGTAAGTAAAACAAACATCACCTATAGCTAGAACGAAACATAATAAAGTATATTTACTCTCCTTAAAATTTATATATTACATAATAATTTCAGCTGTTACGAAAACTTTAATTCTATTTATTAAATACAATTACATTAACGGCACGAAAACTTTTCTTACAGAGTCATCGATAGTCAAGTTTTTAGTAGAAAAAAGCGTTCCACACGAGATTTGACATGGACTAATTACCAAAACATAGATGATATTTACGATTGGTTTGAAGAGCTAGCAAATAATTATTCATTTGTGTCACTCATTCATGCAGGACAATCCTATGAAGGTTCATTTTAGTTGTTATCTATTAATGTTCGTTTAAAAATTAAGTGTATGTGCATTAATATATTTCTTTTCTATTTTTAGGTAGAAACATAACAGGAGTAAGAATAAATCGTGGTTCTCGGAGAGCCATTTTTGTTGAAGGTGGTCAAATTGGAGCTGATTGGTTGTCGCCAGTTGTTATTACTTATTTAGTAAATCAATTAGTTCGAGGTGTAGACAGTGAAGCGCGAGATGCTAGTTCTGATTTTGATTGGCATATTTTTCCAATTCTTAACCCAGATGGACACATATACACACAGGAAAGGGTAGGTATTATTATAAGTACATATTAAAGATTTAATCAAAAATCTTCTAATGTAAATTATATGTACACCATCAGAAAAAATCAATGCATTGCTAGTAATAAACTTCCTCACGAATACCATCTTGCCTCCTAGGTATGTACTTAGACTCCTTCTCTCTATGTAGTAGCCTCGTCTGACACTTAGGCTATTCGCGATCTCTTCTAATGCATAAAAAAGGCATATGTGGCACTGTCACTTCTCTGAATTAACAAGCTAAACTCCAGATATCTATTAGTCTGGCGCATAGCTTCGTATTCTTAGATATTCAGAAAAACTTCGGACTTTCTGCCCTGTAAGAACCATTTCCATCGATTTGATTAGGGATATTCTAGTGACTGGAACCTAGGGGGCATGGTGTACAGAGACATGCTATGTGAAATTTTTGCACATAATCGAAACGCTAAACTTGCAGGTTGATGGTCATAGGGCGTCATTTTTAGTACTTGAGACACATTACTGATCCATATCGCAGTTATCAGACTGATGTCATAATGAATTCTTACGTTTATCCAAAAAATGAATACAATGACATTTATTTGGAAGTATAGTATACATTTGTTGTACCTATGAAGCAGGAAATATCCACGTGACTTTAAGGTTTGGTAGAAATGATGATGTACATTTATAACCATATGTTTTTAGGATAGGTTCTGGATTAAAAATCGTAGAATCAACAGAAATGGAACAATTGGAGTTGACTTAAGTAGAAACTGGAATTCTCATTGGGGAGGTAATTAAAAATAATTTTTTTCTGTTATAAATAAAGATAACCATGAATGCAAATTTAAAAAATATATATACTTTTTCATATTACAGTAAGTGGTGGCAGTTTTAATGCCTCTCAAAGTACCTACGTGGGTCTAGGACCTTTCTCAGAAAAAGAATCAAGAGCGATTTCATACTACATTGACTCCATTGCACCCCGACTTGAATTCGTGCTTTCAATGAGAAGCTTCGGACAAAGGCTACTTTTACCATTTGCGCATTCCACTGAACCTATGTTCAATTACAATGAAACGGTTGGTTCATTTTGAGTATTTTACAATCTCATGTCATATCATTCTGTTTTAATTTGCTTATAATAATAGTTTTTGTTTTATATTCTAATAAGAAAGTGATTGTTTTCAGATCATTGTAGGAAGGAGAGCTATGGGATCTATGGCAGTTAAATATAATACCCAATACATTGTTGGTACTTCAAAGGAAGTTCATGGTAAGATATACAATATAATTAATAACAATTTTGAGAAAAACATTTAAAGATAAAATTCTTGCTTAAATCTTTGGAATAAAGTATGTATTGTTAGTAAATATTGCCTTTATTTTCAGATGGTTCAACTGGTTCTCTGACAGATTGGGTAAAACATCGTTACTCTGTGCCTTTTGCTGCCACTTATCTTCTCAGAGACAATGGAACTTTTGGTTATGCCTTACCTGTCAGTCAAGTGCTGCCATCTTGCGAAGAGACATATGATTCGATTATGGCTATTCTTCGTGAAGCAAAGTTTATCCGTTTGATATAAAAACATTTCATATTTCTTAAAGATATAGTATAAAAAGTTTCCATGGTAAAATATGTAAAATATTCTACAAAAAATATTTTGTTCAAGAGCTCGTCATATAATTGTGAATAGAACTGTAAAAAATAGTTGTTTGTCAGATATCTAAAATAATATAGGGTACAAATAATTAAGATAATAAACATAATTTGATAAGGAGTATTTTGTACTTATAAGATACTTCTAAATTATCCTTTTTTTACTTTAAGCAATAAAGAGTCGATTATTAGGAAATCACCATCTTTTTATTTTACAACTGACATTAAAGGACAACAAAAATGACCATCTACCAATCGCCAATAAATCGTTATACATTTAAATATAAGCAAATAGTTTTGATGTAATTGGGGCGTTTTATTTTAAAACGAATTTTGTTATATTTTATCTAAAGTCTTAGTTAGTTCTAAGAAACCCTAATTATATGAAGTAAAGATAAAAGATTAAGAGGTATAAGGCTCATGAGAATCTTTAAAATAATTTTGCTATTATTATTAATCTTACAAAGTGGCATTTCATTTTAACGACTATAGATACCCAATATAAATTATATTTGACTAACAATGATAACAACAGATTCTCATCTCAGTAACAATAACTAAGAAATTTGAAGGGGGTCATATATTTTATTTACTTCTTTTTAAGGTGGGGTTTTTAAATACAGGGGATAGGTGTGTGTTAAGAAGACTGTTTTGCCTTATATCACATAAGAAGAGTCCCTTACTAAAGTTAGAAATATTACAACATAACATATACAGATGTTATAACACAAATTTAGTTAATGAGATCTAATACTTTAAAATGAAACGAATACTTTCGGATTTTCGGCACACGAGATGCCCGTGATCATGGTTGCTGTAAAGTAACTGAAACGTCAGGAGTATGTAGTTTATAATCAAAAATAAAAATCGCGTAGTAAATCCAAAAATACTATTTTTATTTAAACAGTTCAGTTTTATGCCTGATCGAAGGTCAATATGACATTTTAACGATTGGACAACCATGCAAAAAACCCCAAAAAACACATAAAAACATTAAAACTTAAAAACATTAAAACCGGACGCCTCGGTAAGTTTTGTGGTAGGCCTTGAAAAAGAAAAATGTATCAGAGAAGTCCCTTAGTAGTGTTTACATCTGTCTTCAGCCAATTGACATCAAGTCTTCAATTAAATCTTATATTAGTCTTTTTCCCTTTCTGCTAGTAATGCTTGCCATATCAAAGCACTATCATCTTACATTAGAAATTTTAGTGATGGGAAAGTTTATTTATTTTCTTCTCCGACGATCAGTTTTTATTATTGCCGTTGGAAAAACCTAAATCACCTTATGCTAATGATTATAATACGGTATGTGTGCAATGAAACTTAATAAATTAAGAACTTTTTGATGTTTAATTTTATACCTGCTTTGTATAATAATGTTTTATTAATACGACACTACATAAATTATGTCTAATTTATTATACTTTTATAACTAAAACTATAGATTTTTTATTCAATTCCTTAATGATACATAGGATCCTCGGAAGTGCTTTAAAAGTTACCGTTTTACACTTTACTTATTTTTATTAAAAGTATGTTTTTGGGATTGACTGTGTGCATTTTGTGATGGTTCAGTTTTCCGAGACACTGCTTTGTTCACGAAAGTTATTTTCTGTGACAAAGCCATGGATTCTCTGATAGAAATATTAGAGTAAAAGATTCGGATATATGAATAAACATAATACTAGATACTTAATGTGGGAATTGTTAATTTAATCATATGTTACAAAAAAAACTTACTTTTAATTTCAGTTTTTTATTTTAGTCAATAAGCAATTTAGACATGCCATACATAGATGCATCTCGTCAATAGATTTTGATTGAAAGATAACAACTCTATTCCAAAAATATAAAACACGTTGTTTCTAAAATCCAAATCTGGGACAGATTTTAAATCTGAAACATCGTTCTATTGGACATGAAGTGATCAGTCTATCCGTCTCTGATGTCACAACAGTGAATATTGATTACAGTTCTACTAGAAAAATAGCTATGGAACGACTGATAAGTTAGTCTGCTTTTTTAATTTATGCTTTAAATTTATTCGTCCTTTTTCGGACTTAGGGGTACCGTTATAAAATTTAATTTATAACGTATATAAAAGTTATTATTGTTGTTATCAAGACTCTCAAATTCAATTATAAATAGCTATGAAAAAAAAGTAATATAAATATAATCGAAATTTATATTAAGATGTACCTTCCGGTTACTGACCCACCTCAGATCATGTGTCAATAATTAATTAACACAATATCAAAACATAGTTGTTGAATTTCCTCATTAAAAAGAAGTCTTTTAAAATAACACCCAAATATTTCCGGAAACATATTGACCACGAGAACTAACAAAATTCACTTGAAGTTTTTAACTTATTAGGTTCGTCATTTAATTATTATTTACTTTGGGTGGAATAAATATTGAAAATTTATCATTATAAAGAACAAACAAAAATTTTAAAGAGTAATAGTATGTACAAAAAAAAATGTTTTGGGACAAGACCTAAGTTTTTTGAGTTTCTAGAACTCAAATAAATAATATATTTGAAGGCATTGAAATAAAATAAATAAATAATATACATTTTAATATTTTAATCTTCATTGCGATGTATACATGACAAGTAAAAGAATTGAAGATCAAAGTTATACAAAAAAAATTTTCAATAATTAATAATAATAAAAAAAATCAATTCAAATATAAATATGATATAATTCCCGAACATTCCCATTATATTGTATGAAAGTCGGCAACCAGGCTTCGTTAGTGGAAATGATTAAAACGGAGACGTGATACGATAACAAACGAGCTGTGCTTTCTCGTCCATAATATAGACAATAACAGTATTTAAAAATAAACTTTTATATGCATTTAAAAGTTAAATGCAATTTTTAATATAAAATCTTAAAAACCTTTAATATGTTATATCTTCCTTTGTGTAGGTATTTCTAGTTGAAATTTTTATCCGCAGTTAATAATGTAGACAAATAGTCATAAGGATTTCATCAAATTGTATAGAATACTTGTAAAAAAAGCCGTATACTCACTCAGAACAAGTCACAGCTTGCATCTTGTCTTATCCTACAACTTTATTCGTTTCGATCTTTATCATTGTTTACTGATTATCTTCAATTTAATTACCATGAGTCCACAATAATTCTGTAATAGCGTTACAATACAAATTTTCGCGAAAAAAAACAGTTATTCCAAAAATTTATTTGTGAAAGCTTTTATGAGGAGATTTCTGGAATTTATTTACTAGTGAATTCTGCTCCGGCTTAAAAAAAAATGTTCTGTATAAAAAGCCATGATGAATATTTCAATTAATATCCACAATACTTTATGATCATCTTTTATTAAAAATTTTACACATATATTTATTAGAATAACATTTTATAGATAATTTTATTTTAATTTCGTCTGTCATATGTTTTGTTTTAACTTTTTATTTCCTGTTTTGTTGTTTTTTTTAATCATCAAAGAACATTGATGAAAACTAATTATGTTTAAGATGATTAAGTTGTAAATAATTAGTGTGATGATTCATAAAATGTTTCTAGTTATATAAAGTTGTATATTCACAACTAAAAAACGATTTATTAAGTTTTTCTTGTTTACCTATGTATGGTACAGAATTTATGAAGCCTAATTCTAATAATAATCCTGATATTGATATATTTATGATCACCAATTTTATTTTAATAATCTTCGGTTTAATTCTGCCCAACTTCGAGATAACAATGCATCAAGGTGTGTTAAAAAAATATAGTAAAACACAGTATGTTAGTATTAATTTTATATTGAATACAATAACTTATTAAAATATTTTGATTATGTCGAAGAACTGCTAGCAACCATTTTATTCGACCTTTTTCGTCTTGAGGAATATTTAATAATACTTTTTAGGAGTTAGTAGTACAAAACAAGAGAAGTAACTTTTGAGATTTCACATTTTTATGTATTTTTTTTAGTATACAATGACTGAATGAAAGAAATAAATCAAAGCAGTTATCACCGTATTTATTATTTGATTTGAATGTTAATTTTTATTTTGATATAACTTTTTAATTTTATGAAAAGAAAATATTTAAAAATAGGTTATTATTATCTTATAAGATTAAAATGAGATTCCTAAGCATCCATTTATTTGGACGTGCGTTAAAATTTTCTTTATTAAAATAGTAAGTTAAGTGTTTAAGTTGCAATTCCAACTACAATAACAAGAATTGGGTCAGCTGAAGTGTTTTCCAGTCTAATTAAGTCGTATTTGGCTTAAAAGCTGGAGCTTTCAAGAAACTGGTACTTTTAGTTCTGGAGAAGTTTGTTTTTAGTTTATTTACATATGATATCATTACTCGTGGCTTTTATTTACTACAACTGTTAAATAATATTATTTTATTACATATTTATGTGACTCATAATCTTTGTATAATTACTTTAAAAGAATCTTGAGTTTTCATAAATAAATCTTATTATATAGCTTTTCTGCTTTCCCATAATCACAATATGAAGTCTTTTTCTTGTACCTGGCAATTTCCCAGATTTAGCCAGAGTCTGCCTTACATGTTGTGAATAGTTTTGGCTAATTGTTTTTACGACCGGCCGCCTGCCTGACATCAACCCTCTTTTTGGAAATGTACTAATCAGTGATGTCTAAATACTCTTAGAAAGTACATATGACTGTTAAAAATCACATTAGTACTTGCCAGGATCGAACCCGCACCTTCATGCATGAGAGGCGGGCCTTTTAACCACTGGGCCACCACTGACTTAATCACAATATTAAGTATTGCTTGTTAATTATAGGAGGAATATCATTGCTAAACTATATTTTCTATGTTTCGTTTTTACAACTTCAAAATTGCTTTCTCTTGAAAAACTTTTGCATCATATTATCTGTCACAATACAAAGTGACTATTTGTCTTAAGTAT